CGAAATATCTTACTCGTTGGCCAGAAGCCCGAGCTATCTCTGATGCATCCGCCTCTTCGGTTGCTTCCTTTTTCATTGAAGATATAATCTGTCGACATGGAAGTCCCTGTGAACTTCTATCGGATCAAGGGAAACATTTCCAAAATCAACTCATAGATGCTATCTGCGCCCAGCTCCAAGTCGGTTATAAATATTCCTTTAGTTATCATCCCCAAACTAATGGATTAGTGGAACATTTCAACCGTACCTTATGCGAAGTTTTATCCAAGTGCGTTATCCAATTTTCGGGGGATTGGGATCGTTACATTTCTCCCGCCCTGTTTGCCTATCGAACCACTAAGCATTCTATTACCCGTTACAACCCCTTTTTTCTCTTGTATGGAAGAGATGCCATTTTACCCGAAGAGGTTCTGCAATTAACTCCAAAGCTCCCTCCCACGACTGAGAACGATTTGCAAGACAACATCTTGAGAAGAGTCGAGTTACTTTTGGGGGATCTACCGCAAGCTCAAATCGAAGCCAAGAAAAAGACTGAGAAGGCTCAGCAATGTTAAAAAGAACGGCATGATAGGCTCTACCTACTTGAAAGTTATTTTATTGGTGATAAGGTTCTTCACTATCGTTCTTCTCTCGAAGGAACCCATAAAAACAAATTAGAAGAAAAGTGGGAAGGTCCTTTTATCATCTATGATGTTCTTGGAAAGGGTACCTATAAACTTCGAACCCTCGACAACAAGGTGTTGAAACAGAAGGTTCACGGCAATAGATTGAAGCGCTATACTCCCCGAGCAGAAGATTCTGATATAGTACCATGTGATCTCGCAGGAGCTCGATAATCGAGGAGGGGATTGTTACTATAGTTGTTTTTTTTTCTTTTCTGTGCTATGGTAATACGTCGGTCATATATTTCGAACTGACAGCCGTGTTACCGATATTTCTTTTATCTATAGATTATCGATTTCCTATTATATATATTATTATAAAAATTTCTATTTCCATTTTTTTTTCTATCTATATTTTTTTATGTACAACGTCGTTATTATCCATCTTTAGTTAGATTATCTCACCAGCAGCGATATCTTATGATTTTAATTGGATCGCATTACATTGTCCAAGTGTACCTTTTTGGTAGTTAATAGAGTAATTCTGTTGCTTCCTATTATGGTAGATCATACTAGTAGGAATTAACTGGTAACGTTACAGAGGAAATTAAGGAATTACCTATGCTTGAGTATAGGATAAACGAGAAGGGAAGTTCGTGAGTTTCCTCAATGACGTTCTATTGTTCTTGTATTGTTGTCATTGAGCCGTCTATAGTTTAGAATAGAAAGGGAAGTTGTAAGGACGAATGTAATGCATTTAAGTATTACCGCCCTTGTTAAAATTTGTAATTCTTGTACTCGTTAAAGATGTATTTAAGACCGCGATTTTTGCTCTTAATAAAGAGCAGACTTGGATCTCATTGAAAAAGAATTCGAACTCCTGAATATTTAAATAAATACTTTTACCCTTACCCCTGAATTGAAATATCATGAATACATCTTCACGATCGTATTATTATTGACCCCGTACTGTGAATACATCTTCACAGTTCGAATATTATATCATATAATCGTTACGATTATAATCGTACACCTATTGTTGTCCCTATCTTACATTATTTTATCTTTTGTTCACTATTGCTGAGTTAAACTTGGTCACTTACTGACACTCTCCCGATTTCCGATAGTAACATTTGGTGCCGATTATGTGGAATTATCCGCCTATCAGGTTTCAGGACCGCATGAATAATTTCGAACAGCATTCAAGGAATATCAGAGAACACGACTGTCATCATTATTTATTTGGAAAAACCCTGCAAGCGATTAATTATTTGATTAGATATTATAATGACGAATCCTGCTCCGTTTGTTATCCACCTCAAGATCTTTCTCCTCGATTCTATAATTTTTGGGCTTGGTTTAGTACTTTTCAACCAGCTATTTCATTTTCTCAACACGCCCATCAACGATTTTAAAAGCTTGATAATTTTGAGATCGAGACTATTCCTGATAGATTGTTGTGCTCGTTCATTTTTAGTTTTCGTTATAGTGAACAGCCTGACAATTTCCCTACTCTTTTAACTGAGTTTTTAACCGCTTACCAAGAAACCGACAGATTCGCCCTTGATCCTTTTAAAGATACATACAACGCTAGTGAAACCCTTAAAGAAAACCTTATGGCCCACGATCACAACCGAGACCCTCCACTTTTTTCGGGTCTGTGGAAATGTCATCCTCATTGATAATGTAACCAAGGAATTTAAGCTCAACCTTGGCG